TGGGGAGACCAATGCACTTCAGGGGACGCAAAGGGTGCCAGCGGGTGACAGAGCGCAGAGAGGAAGGGGTCCCCACAGAGAGCTGAGGGTCCCTCAGGGAGCTAGGCTTTGCCTTCTAGAATGGTAATCCATAGGGGCAGCGCTGAGGCACCTATCATGAGTCCTCGGAATCCCTTCACTGACCACTCATCGAAGCCACCATCCGATCACAGAGCTGTAGCAAAGGAGAGAGCGCCAACTGTAGGCTTTTCTGCCTCTGTCCATCTACAGCCCGGCGTCTGTGCCCTCCGGGGAGGTGCTCACCGCCTGGCACCCGCTAAGGATGCAGCCGGAGACCTGTGATGACAACACCCAGGTTTCGGGTCGTGGCTCCCAGCGGAGGTACTGGCAGGTCCCCCCCAGACCCACATTTCAGCAGGAGCCAAGACAGCGTGTGCAGGGTCAAGACTAGGAGCTTTGGGATTATGTGACAAAGAGCCTCTCTGACATCCTGGAGGAGAGACCACTGTGGCAAGTGAAGGGGTCAAACCTCTCCAGGACTGAAGAGTGAGAAATCAGTTTGGACTGAAATGAGAAACTCAGCCCTGCCCTCAACCAGGCTGGGGAGAGAGACATGGATCGGCCAGCTGCCAGGTTCACAGGACATATCGTTTCTCCCAAGGTCATGTCGGAAAAGGTTACAGCGGCCCCTTCTTTGCTGGGTCGCTCTGGCCGCCATGGCGGGTGCTGGCTGGGGGAAGAATCTGGTCTCTGTCTCAGGAGGATGGGGCTGCCTCCCTCTCCCCATGGTCTTCGATTCACACGCATCCCCGGAATCGAATGCCTCGGGGGCACACGGTTTCGTGGGCGTCTCAGAGCTTCCACCCTGCCTGCGTGCGCATGCCTTTGTTGAGGCTGTTCCGAAAAGCTCCTGAGCCCTGATCCTTCCAGAGAGGATCACAGACTGACTTCTGCCAAGCTCACCAGACTGCCAAGCCCTCTCCTCAGGTCACAACTCCGAAGTGACGTACACACCCCAGAGTCCATTGCCAATGTGTATTATTATTACAGCAGGAAAACTAGCGTCTGTTCCAAGGCAGGACACATGTAGGTGGTGACCGGAAGCTCGCTTCTCTCGTCATGCTCAACCACTGCCTACTACTGATTAGGTGGCCATCAACCAGGTCAGGGGAGCAGCAGAGGTGGTAAAGACAGGAGGGAACACCTTCCCACGGCAAAAACAAAAATCTAAACCCTTAACTAGAAAAATCTTGGAATCTTGGTCAATTCCACCCCATTCCTTTTCTTCAAATGTGAGTTCGTGTTTTGGAGTTACCTATCCAAGGAGTTAAGTGCCACCGTGGGAGAAGTGAAGAGTCAGGCTGTAAGCAGGAAGGCAGGACGTTCTCTTGTACATCTTGGCACCGTAGATGCTGGCTGCCCCCTCGCCACCGTGCGGCCTTGGCCCTGGAGCTGTGCGTCAGGCAGGCATCGTGACCGTGGGCGCCTCAGTCCGGAGGAACTAAATGGCATTGCAACTGCACAGGGCCAGTGAAGAGCAGCAGAGAATTTGGCAGCGAGGCCCCGGGGCTGGGGGGGGGGGGGGGGGGGGAGAGGGAACAGGGGTGTCTCCATTTTGCTTTGGGCTCACCAAGAGTCCTTCCCTTGCTGAAACATGAAGTCATCTGTAGTCCTCCCCTGCCCTACCCCCTCTTAAAAACTCTGCCATTAACAGGTTCTTTTAATCTTTGGGTGTTTTTGTTGTTGTGGTGGTGGTGGTTGTTTTTAAACCTGCAGTGTCAGAAGGGGAGAAAAACAAGCCAGCCAATCTTGGCTACCTTTCCCTGGATATTAAAAGGCACATCCTGTGCAATGGAAAGGTAATTCAATTCCACTCCTTGCCTCGCATCTTGTCACTTTCTTCCTGCTTCTCTCCTTGCAGAAGCTGCCTCCACCCTGCCCGTCCCCACTCAGCGGCCTGCCTGTCTTAGCCTTTCGTGCGGGCAAATCTAGGGGCAAGTGAGATACAACAACCCTCCCAAACCCAGCCATCTAGATTAAACATGCCTTCAAATTGTTAGTCATGATGTCGGTCCTGGCCACTAGACTGAAATTCTCTGCACCGTGTGTCTTGCCAGTAACCACGCTGTCTTTGCTGCGTTTCGTCTCTACTTGTCATTCACATCCGTGTGGCCTTTGGCACGTGCGTTTCCCCACACCAGGGCTGCGGATTACTTCGGATTTACCTGGCACAACACCAAGCTCTTAACAAACATTTAAAGAAAAAGGGATGGTGACACAGCCCTGTTGGTAAAGTGAACAGGGTGAGGGAGGGGGCCTGAGCCTCCAGGAGACAATTTATTCTGCCTTTTTTCTTAAAATATCAGTGGCCAGGGATGGCTGCTGCCGATTTTCTAAGCTTCGGACTGATTCATACGCCAGAAGGCACGATCAAACCCCACAGACAGTTTTCATCTCAACTTGGAGAGAAGAGGAGGAGGGTGAAGCCAACAGAAGGAACCTGACCGTCTCCTACTCCAAGCTGCCGAGGAACCCACGGACCGTAGCCCGTGACCTTCAACGGCCCACGGTCTGTGTGTTACACGTCCTCTGTTGTGGTTGTGAAGCACTCAGGGAATAAGGATATCTACCAGCTAGAACAAGTGAAAGGAGAAAGAGAAAGAGAGTAGCTTTGCCGTGTAACACATGCCAGGGCAGCAGGGGTGAGGAATCTGCTTTGCATGGAACTCGTTATAATGAGGTGCTCCCAAGCCGGGCCCGGGATGCATTGCCCTTCTCTCCTACCATGTTCTCTTTCCCCACGAGCCACGGCTGCTCCTTCCCTTCTCTATGCACATAGCTGTACAATGGCCCTGCTTCTATTCAGTCCAGAGCCTGCAGAAGCTTTCTTCTGGGACACTGTGGATGGATGTACTCCCAGGCCTTGTAGTGAGACTGTCTGTCCATCACACTCTGTGTGGGGAAAATGCTAGTTGTCTTGGATGGTTAGTTCCTGAGTTCCACTTGGAATTATTCTAAAATCACTCCATCAATTTGTGATGGGTAAAAATGCACTTGCTTTCTGAATTTGTCCCCCATCTTAATTTCCACCAGAAACAAGTGGGCTAAAGCACTCTCGGAAGAATTGGACCTTATCCTGCCATAGCCTTGGGTGTCTTCCCCACCTACTACAAGCAAAATCGAGTACTCTTGGGAACTCACCTCCCGAATTCTACCTCTTTCTTCTTGACTCCAAATGAGAAACCCAATTCCGAACCACGTGCTTGACACTTGGTTGGGGTTGTGACGGTGCCAACAGGCATGGTTTCAGCTTGCAAACTGACAGATGTTGGTATCTCACAGGTGTGTGCGCATCACGTAAATACAGGTTTCGATGAAGAGCGCAATCAGCGTTGCTTTGTTACATTTGAGTTTTGTTTAAAGAGATGCCAATTACCGGAGTTAAAATTTTACCTTAAAATCATAAGGTACGTCTCAGACAGTGATCGCCTTCTCTTGACTATGCAAACTCTTCTCTCCTCAAACAGCTACAATTCAGCTCAGACATCTCTTACTACGGCCACCGTGCTCTGAAGAGTCATTCCCTAAGTACCACAGACCAACGTGACAGTAAAATGTATGACACGGAGACTTGCATTATGTACTGGGGCATCGGGTACCGCATCCAATATGCCATAGACAAATGGCTTCAAGGATCTCTCTTTTTTTTTTTTGCAGTTATAGCTTGCCTTTGGGATGTTATGAATATCTTCAAGACATATTTATATAAAACACACTAATAAAAGACTTAGGGGTCTAGCACTGACACCCTATCAGAAATAGTATCAGAGAGATTTGTAAGTTCTGAGTTGGTGAAAGAAATCACGGATAAGGATGTTTCTATCATTTTCTTGTCACAAGTCGGTATGTTGAGGTTTAAATTAATAACTGATTGGATCAGGAGTAATCCATTTGGATAATTGTAAGCAGCTTGTATTGTCTGGATTCAAATTCACATTTAATTGCTTCATTTAAAGGGTTTCAGGAAGATGCCAATAATTTTGGACTCTTGGTGCATCTAACATAGCTGAGATTTTTAAATTGCCTGATGTGAAAGAGCTCATATTTTTAAATATATTCACACCCATATGTATAATTGGTAATGATACACTGCCTTCCATACTCTTGAGAATAGGTACAGGTTTAAGGTCAATCAACAACAAAACTCATCTCCAGGCACTCCCAGTATTCTGATTTACTTCTTTTCACTTCAATTTTGAAATTCGGGCCAGTGGAATTAGTCACGTTTAAAATAGCTGAGTATAATCAAACACAGACACACAAACACACAAATCAGTGTCCATAAAACCGGAGAAATCTAAATAAGGCTGGTGGATTGTGTCACTGTTGGTTTTCTTGTTGGGATGTTATACTGTAGTTATGCAAGAAGTGATTTCTCACCAGGGAAAACTGCCTGGAGGGTATAGGGGAGCTCTCTGTGTCATTTCTCACAACCCCAGGTACGTCTACAATTATCTCAAAATAAAAAGTTAAAGATGCAGGGCAAAAGATCAATACGTTACATTGCCATTTCGCTGTTAAAAAACATTATGTATCCAAACATATGCACACAGACCCACCTGCATACACACATCAGAGCCATAAATCCGTAAAGATCTCAGTACACAAAATAATGCCATTTCCATAAGGGCAACTAAGAAATCGTTAACACTGGTGGCCGCTGAGGAGGAAAATGAAAACACAGACAATGTAGATTTACTTTCCAGAGGCGATCGTTCTGCGCCTGTTGAGCTGCACCGTGGGCTATTGGCATCACTCGGTCAAAAATTAGCTTTTGAAGAGTGAGGACAAAGCAGACATTCCCAACCTAAAACAAAGGAACGGATACAAAAGAACCAAAAGCAGTTTGGGCCGCGGGGCAAGCCCGGGGAGCCGCTCCCAGCCCTGTCTCCGACACCCCGCAGCGGTGAGGATACAAACAGAATAAACGAGACTCTTACGGCTGGAGACGCAGTAGGACAGTCTGCAGTTGATCCTCCTGAAGAGCTGCTTGTTAATTGGCCAGAGAAGGAGGGTGAAGAGCTGAACGGTGTTGATTATTAGCCCCGAGGCGATAAATACGTAACAGAAGACGAGGTGGCACAGGAACTGAGACTTCAGCAACCCGAGGAGGTCCATGGCGCGGGGTTGCGTTGATTCAGACAAATAAATACTCGCAGGAGAATATTTCCAGAGGGAACCAAGGTCCGCCACCCAGGAAAGTGTCTAGAACACAAACCAGTGTTACACGTTACAAAAATATAAGACGTGCTTTTAGAGTCGGGGGGGGCGGGGGGGAAGAAAACCCTCTTAAAATAGACTCTTACAATGAAACACTTTGTACACGAGTTGGTTTCTTTTTATTCGGCAGTCACGTGGCGCTTACTTATGTCAGGCCCGGTTTCAGCCCTTTAAAAGTAACAGTTCCTTTCATTGCCCTAACACCCCGTGAGGCTGGGACTGTTAGCGCAGAGGAGGGGACCGAGGTCCTGGGAGAGTAAGCAGCGCGGCCGCGGTTCCACGGCTTCTACGGCTGCCAGGTTCACAGGTGGCCGAGGTGGCTCGAGTCCTGCGGCTCGGCGGCCGTGCGAGCTCCTGTCTTTGGCGATCGCAGCAGAGGCTGAGTTTCCGGTGTCCCCTCCTGCTGCCACCCGTGCCTGAACACCCTCCCCCGCCCACTTCTCTTCCTCCAGATCCTGGCTGCTCCAACGTCCCTTCTGGCAAGCTGGCCTGCGTGACGTTAGGGACACCCCCGGGGGGGGGGGGCTCTGCCTGCCAAAGCACCTGTCCCAGTGTATGCCTGGAGGACACCCTCTGCTCCTGCCCCTTCCCCCACTGCACCGTCACTGCTCCCAAGTACGCGGTTCTCCCGAAGATCATCATTTTCTCTCCAGTGACCAGAGCAGTCATCGGCACATAGCTGCAGCTTAATTTTTTTTAAAAAGTTTATTTACTTACATTGAGAGAGAGGGAGTGCACAAGCAGGGGCGGGGCAGAGAGAGAGGGAGAGAGAGGATCCCAAGCAGGCTCCGCACTGCCAGCACACAGCCCAACGTGGGGCTTGAACTCATGAACCACAAGATCATGACCTGAGCTGAAGTCAGACACGGAACTGGCTGAGCCACCCAGGCGCCCCTCGGGGAGCTTAATTAAAAAAAAAAATGTGGAATGATTTAATGAAGGTAGACAAGGAATGGGCTTTGAAATATCAGCAAACACAAATGACCAAGTATGAAGGCAAGAGAACCACCCCCACCACACCCCTGACACACACACACACACACACACACACACACACACACACACACACAGTTCTAAAATCAGAAAGAAACTCAAATAGCAGCCAGACTCACGGCCTGGTAATCAGTCTCCGACCCCAAAATGGAATAATGATATGACTTTACAGTGTGGCAAAAAAAGCCTTTGAGGGCAAGTGTGAAGGCAGGAGTTTCAAATACTCTGATGGCAAAAAGGAAGGAAGCTGAGGCAGTCACGCACAGCAGCCTGGTTCTCCTGGAAGCAGGATCTCACTGCAAACTTCTCTAGAAGCAGCCCAAACTTAGCATAAACCCTCCAACAGTAATAATGGAGAGATCAGTCTTTGTCAATAACACCAAAAAATCTACATAATAGTTTCACATCTATTATATCATTTTAAGCTTCCCATGAATCTAATGAGAAGAGTATTATTATTATTATCCCATTCTTCAGAATAAGAAACTGAGATGACTCACAGGTTGGGTGATTTGCCTAAGGTTGTCACAGCCCATAACTAATCATAGGTCTCTGTCTTATCTCCAAGTTCTTTCTTGTGCACCTGCCTGGGCTGCTTTGTTCCCAGGGGGGAGCTGGGGAGCTCTCTTGGGCTCTGCGGAGCAGCTCAGAGATGACCCCAAAGGCAAAAACGAGAGCAGCCTTCAGCGGAGTTCAAAATCACAAGCTATATTCAGAGTGGGGAATGGGACTTGCTTCTGGTCACCCAGACTGGTTTTGAAGATGGCCGTGGGCAGCAGGACAGACATAAGGTGTGTTCCTCTAGAACATTTACACTTGCTTAGATGATCTGGAAGGTACACGGTACTCCCGCCTGGTTTCCATATGTTTCTGGTAGGGGGAAGTGGAAAGTAACGTTGGGCCTGATTTCTCTGGAGTCAGCTGAGACACCCGACCCCCCCAGAAGCCCTGCTCTCTGGCACAAAGCCAAGGGTCTGCGGGGACTGATTGATGCATCACGTCTCTGACCTTTCCCAGGCGGCTTTTCCCACAAGCATCTCCAGGTTGTCAAAGACACACTTGGTTCCAACACACTCAGTCTCTCTCTAATGAGTAGGCATTAAGCTGGCAGCCCCCTTTCAATGCACTTGACTTTTAGGAGCCACATAAGGAGGAGTGATGTACATTGGTTTACAGTGTGGCAGCAGTTACAGGACGATGTTGAATATTCATGCGCTTTATTCACTGTCCCTAGATGAGCCACTAAAAGCTTCCAGACAATCTGGCCAAAAGAAGTAGGATTCTTCCCTAGGTCTCTACGATCTAGTACGTGTGAAGTATTTTGCAAATCCTTTGCTATGCTGACTTAACACTAAGAAAAGGAAGACGATGGACTTTGGAAACGCAGGGAATGAAATGCTGCCTTCCTCGATTTCCAGTCAATAGTAGGACATTACAAAGAACACGGAAGATTTGTTTCCCTTGTAAAAGACCAGGGACCACCACGCCCTCAAGTAAAACCTTCGCTAGTACCGCACGAAGCAGGAGTCTATGTAATACTGGTGATGTTTAAGGGGGAATCACACGCAGGCGGGCCTTGGTTGCTTTGGTTTTGCACACACTTCCTCAAATTCTCTTCCTAGACTAGTGTGGTGGCCGAGCGTGGGCTTGGGTCCAACTGTCTGGGTTTGAACCTCTGCTGTACCTCTTACTGGTCATGTGCCTTCAGGTAAAGTAACCCTTCTGGATCTCAGTTTCTCTATCTGTAAAGAGGGATCAAAATTCCAAGAAGACTATTGTTTTTCTTTCTTTCTTTCTTTCTTTCTTTCTTTCTTTCTTTCTTTCTTTCTTTCTTTCTTTCTTTCTTTCTAAGCTAAACCGATTCTCAAATTTATAGGCAAGAGCAAAATAAAAGACTAGCCAAGGAACTGCTTGAAGAAGAACAAGGCTGGCAGGTGCCATGAGTTTGTTAAACAATTTGACTGACTTAGTCTCAGAGCTGATTAGTAATAAAGAGACACAAGGCTAAATCATTTAAGGAGGTATCTGTTGGGTAAATATGTGTTGTGTGCCTTGAGTTTATTCCAGATGGAAGTTTGGGGGGCCACCCTACCCATACTGAATAAGGAACAGCTTTTTTTGAATGTGGTCATCAGCCAATTCGGTGCCCTACTGAGGAGAGATGATAGAAATATCTGACCAGTGGTGAAAGCAGTTAAAAATACTTTGCCTACTTCCCTTTCAGATGCGTGACTACCTAGAATGTTAGGGGAAGAAACTTTCTGGCAAATTCACTTCAGCAGCTTATACGAAGCAAGGAAGTGACAAAGAATTTTATTTCACAGACTGTCAGAACAAGTAATTTATGGAGTTTGTAAATCAACAAATAACCGTGAAGCTGCTTCTCCGTCATATTGCTGTGAGCGAAGATATTTCTTATCATCAAGAGCAATGATGGAGAGCCTATGTGCCTGAAAGCCCAAACGAGATGCTGCCATGGTCTGGTTGGGATTCTTGCACAGGGCAGAGTGTGGACGGCACATCAGGGGCTCCCAAGTGGCCTTTAACCCAGTCCGTGGGCCCCTCCCTGGCACTCACCCACAGGCCCCGAGAGCTGACTCCAGGCTTGTGAGGCACAGCCCCTTCCATCGTGTTCACGATGGTAAGTCCAGCCCAGGTCATCTTTGAGGAGGGGACAGAGGGGAGAGGTGACATGACTGGGGCTTGGCGCACAAGCTGGCTGTGCTGACAGGAGCAGGGGTCTTGCCAGATATTGAAGCCCAGACCAGTCACAACCCAGGGAATGCAGGTAACATGTAGGAGGAATTGCCGGAACAAGAAAACACTTTTTTTTAAGTGTGATTTATTTATTTTGAGAGACAGAGAGAGGGTGAGTGCGAGTGGGGGAGGGGCAGAGAGGGAGGGAGAGAGAGAGGGAGAGAGAAGGAGAGAGTGGGAGACAGAGAATCCCAAGCAGACTCCACACTCAGCACAGAGCCCAACCTGGGGCTCAATGTCAAGAACTGTGAGATCATGACCTGAGCCGAAATCTAGAGTCGTCCGCTTAACTGCCTGAGCCACCCAGGTGCCCCTGAAACGTGAAGACATTTTAAAGAGAAATCGTAGAGAACAGGGAAAAATGCCAGAAAACCCAACCTGTATACATTATTTGAATTTTTCAGAAGGTAGAGTCTGACCCATCACCTGAAAATTCCTGAACCAGCATTTTAAACACAGACAGGAAGCTCCTGTCACCAGGAATCAAGGCTCAAGGAGGATAATAGGGTCAAGGAGGATAGTTTACTCCAAATTACCTTAATTTCCCAGCTACTGATGTTTAGCAGAGTTTGAACTTAACTCATCGTTTGAAAAAGTCTCTGGCAGTCCTTGAGGGCACATTGTTGCCCATGAGTCTATGTTAAATCGGCTCACAGCTGTTTGAAAAAGCTGCCATTAATGTTGGAGGAGGCCTCTTATTCAATGGAAGAAATCTCCTGAAGTGCCACTGTGAAGAAAAGAAGCTGTTCATCCAAGGAAGGGAGAGACCTGGGGTCACACACATGGGGGACGTTGAGCGACCATGAACCAATTGTATGACAGAGGCATTAAACGAGCTGGTATGGGCCTTTGAAGAATATGAGAAGACACTGAGTGAAAAACGGTAACAAAGAAGCATGATTCAGATTTGTAAAATAATAATGTGTATATTTATATCATTCGCATCTCTATTTCTATATTCATGGCTGTCTATTAATAGTGGCTAATTTTGGGTGGAAGAATTCTGGCGGTTTCTTTTCTCCTGTTTTATTACTCTTTTCTTAGAATGAAATGAGCTCTTCCCCCGCTGGACAGAAGAAGGGACCCGATCCCAGCCTGCATTGCGGTTCCTTGTGGTCAGATGACGGAGCCCGTGTGATGCGGAAGGGGAGACAGCCCAGGTCGTTGAGGCAGAACAAGTGTGCTGCCTGCAGACCTGATGAGAAGGACACACCCCTTGTCAGGAGGGCGCCAAG